CTTTTAAAAAATCTTTCCATTTGATTTGTCTAATTGCCTACAAAATTACCCACAAAAATAACCAACAAAATTAACCTAAATCCTAAAGCATTTACCAACTACCACAAAATTAACCAACAAAATTACCCTAAAATAAATAACTAACTTAAAGCATTTATCAATTACCATTTACCACAAAATTAACATAAAATAAATACCTAACCCTAACCTAAAGCATTTACCAATTACCAATTACCACAAAATTAACCTAAAATACTACTAATTGAAAACTTGAAGATGGAAATTAGAATTATAAATTTAGAATATTTACTTACCAAGGTCCAAGGCAGCAAGCAGCAGGAGCCAAGTCGCCGTCGGCAGTCGGCAGCGGTCTCGCCTCCTCTCGTGCAGGTCGCAGGCGGCAGCGGCAGCACCACCAGTCGCCTCCTCGCGTTTAGTCTCGACAGTCGACTCTCTCTGCGTTCTGTCTCCGTCTCGCACTCTCGCTCACTCGCTCTCGCCTCCTCTCTCGTTTCGTTCCCGTGTGCTGGTGTGGTGTTCCTTCTCAGGTTAGAGACTTAGAGTAAGGGGCCTTTGTCAAATATTGTTGGGGGCCCAAACAAACACCTAATTAAAAATACAAGTAAAAAAAAAATTTGGGCTTTGGTGGAAAAATGTTGTTGGGGGCCCAGGCCCCCTACCCCTTAAGAGTGCGTCCGCCTCTGCCGGGACTGGTTATGGACCGGCTCGGCCCGGCCCGGCTTTAAAATTCAAATAATTTTATAAATAAATGTATTTTTAAATCTTTTTATAATGTTTTTTTTAAGACAACGTAATTTTAATTATATTAAAACGCATTTTTAAAATGTATTTGAGTGATCCAATTACAAATTTTATAATATATTAAAAATATATATTATTAAAAAAAATTAAAAAATTATTTTTTAATGTCGGGACCGGTTGGGACCGGTTATGAAGAACCTTGACCGGTCTTACCATTTTTGACCGGGACCGATTATGGCCGATTACGAGAAAGCTTGGGACCGATTAGGATCGGTCCGGCCCAACCCAACCCAAAACCGGTTTTTAGCCGTCACTACTCTGGTTTCCTACAAGGCTACAACATTTCCAGCCCAACAACTACACAAGTCCTGCAGAAACAAATTGGATTGGCCCAACACAACTTCATCAAAAATCTAATTGAAAGCCTAATTACCATTAAAATTCTTAACTTTTATAATAAGCTCCAAAAGTTATGAAAAATGTAAAATAAAAGACTAAAAGACTCGGTAGAAGGTTTGGAAAAATAAAATGATAGCATAAAAGACGAGGAAAGTGGTGTTATACGATCAATAAATTGACAGATATCGCCACGATATCACTTCTAACATAGCAAGGGCTACATATTCCTTGACAAATGGCATCCCAGCTAGAGTAGATGTTCAAGCAACCACAAAGGTTTCGTTGGCAGCCTGGAAGATACAGACCAGACCGACAGACAAGTTGTTCTTGAAGGCAGTCGCGTCAGTGTTGCTCTTCAGAAAATCTAAAAGAGGTTTGTGCCACAAATTGCCACTCCCTGGACTCTCTTGGGTCCTCGTATGATCTCGCAAAATATCTACCTTCTCGCAAATTGCACCTCTAAAGATCCATGCACGATTGGATCGTTGATTGATGATGTTCCACAACGTTTCATTTCTCCGATTCCAAAGACCCCACAGAATCATAAGGAACCTTGCGTTCAAAGAAGCCGGATAGGAGCTCAAATGGAGGAAAAAATATCAGAGAAGTCATTCGCGAGCCTAACTTTTCCGTCTATTTGATCAGAAAGACCGACCTCCCTCCACACTTTCGGCAAATGGGCATTATTTAGATCTAATAGTTTGCTAATTTTATATCAGCATTTTTTGTTGAGTTCTAACATAATCATTATCTTTATAAAAAAATTATATTGATAAACCCAAAAAATAAATTACTTTGCTATTAGACATAAATTAAATTATAATAAAAAATTGAATTAAAGAAATTATATAAAAAATGAGATCTTTTAAATAGTTAATTTGATATTAATATCGATATATTTTTTTTCAAATTTTTATATCTTCAAATATATTTTTTATTCAAAAGTAAAAACATTATCTTTATCAAAACTATATAAAATGTACTATATCAATAGAGACAAAAAATAAAGCGAAACATTAAAATAAAGATGTATCTCGTTGTTTTGCGTAAGTACCGTTCTAGTAAATATTAATACAACACGATAAAACTACATCAATTATTTAAAAGTTGTTGAAGTTGATTTTCGCATGGCGCATCTACGGTTCAAATATCCATTTCTATCGATTCAATTATCGTTTTTCGAGTTTCATGTTTGAATTATCATTTTCTTAAGGGACCAAATTGGCAGGTTATCAATAGTTGAGGTACCATTTTTGTAAATTTCTTTATAATAATATATAATCCCCAAACCAAAAAGCACACGAATTGCAAAGGCGTAGCCAATCCTCACTCTTTTTGACCCTGTTTGGTGCAACTTCTCGAGAGAAAAACGATGACAAGGGGGAAACAAAAGATCGAAGCGCAGAGAAAAAATGCAGAGAAGAATCAGAAATCAAAAGGGTCTCAATTCGAAGCTCGTGCTGTTGCTCTCAAAGTTATATGCCCCATCTGTAAAGTAAGTTTCCCTTTTGCCCCCCATAATCCGTACACACATAGTACGTCTACAAGATCTATATGCTTGTTTAAGTTTGATTTGGCTGAACCTGTTAATTTTGATTTTGATTTTGATTCTTATCTGGGTTTGATTTGGATAATTGTTAAATATAATTTTGCGGTAATTTTGATGAGGAACGAATTGAGGGATTCATGTATGATTAGAGTGTGGATTGTTTGGTTGTTTAGCTTCAATCTGCGTTTAAATTGCAATTTTCTGTGAACTGCGATCTTGGTTTTATTTGAATATGTTGGTGTTGTAGCACATACAGAAAGGGATTGGAAATTGGAAGATGCACATGTAGATGGCGTGTATCTGTTGCTTGCTTAGGTTTTGTTTGGATTTGATTGCATTTTTGTTTGATTTCTGATTTGGGTCTTGTTTGTGTTATTGAGTAAACCTTTTTCATATGAAAATCAGTAATTTGTGGCTGGGACAAGACATGGTGAATTTAGAAGATATATAAATGTCCTCAAGTTATCCATATGGGATCTTTATATTAGTTTAATTAATATCTCCCGTTCTTCCGTTAGGAACCTAAAATTGATTAAGAACCCAAGAACCGCCCACAGCTCTCCACCTTCCCCTCTTTAGGATGAATACTCATCATGGACAACACATTCATGGTGAATATGGAAGTGTTATTCGTCATCAAAACCACATTCATGATGAATATGTTACAGTATTCATGATGAATAGCACGTCCATATCCCTGATGAATATGCCACGTGTTGCGTTGTGGGCGGTTCCCTAGTTCCTCACCCCTTACAAATTTTCTGGCTTTGCTACTGCTTCTGGTCTGGCTTCTTTGATTTGGGCATGTTGTATAAGAAGTAGGGATGCTATTGGGAATATCGAAGGTGAAAGTTTGATCTTCTTAAAAAACAAAGAGATGATAATTTATAAAAAATAAATTAAGGAGGAAACAAAACATTTACGTAAAGCTTACATCATGCGTTAGCGAGATAATAAAGAAGGCAATGTGACTCGAGCAATACTTGTTACTTGATAGTTTTAGATTTATATAGATGCATATCTAGAACTAGGAGACTCATATACAAACGTACCTCTTGTCAATGTTTTTTTGTTTTGATAAATCTTGATATATATATATATGTCATGAGGGCATATTTTCTTTAATCTAGATGATATATAACGAGAAAAGTGAATGAGTGACAAACTTAGTTTGGTACGCACGGAGATGAAGGACATTGTTGCTCGATTTAAATTCCATAGAAATTGACATTTTGAGTCATTTTCTTGTCCATTTCATACCCAAACATTTTGCTTCGTATGTGAACCCTTTTTGCACCATGCTCAAGAGGGGGGTGGTCAATGTATGAAACAGATAGTAAATGACTAAAAGTTGCCGGGCCTTGTGGAATCCATATCGAACAGCACTTTCCTTAGCCATAATGAGTTAGTTAACATTTGTGACTATAACTACTATGGTTGATGTGCTTTAAGTGGGGCATCTAACTAAATATATTTTGAGAAGTAACATGTCTTCAATGCGTAACCTTGAAGGCTGGCTCTACCGGCAAACACCATCTAGGCCTTATGCTCCTCCTCATAGGTCGCCAGTTCGAGTCTACCCTGGGCCACTGTGGATTTTCTTGGTTGTTATCTTCAGGGCTCCATGGGATTAGTCAAGGTGCATGCAAGCCAGCCTAGACACCCAAAGTCACCCTCAAAAAAGTATTTAGTGGGTATGAGTTGTTTATGCGATACAAGTCGATGTTGCATAATAGTTACATTTCTTATCCATCCATGAATAGATGGGTATAGGCCACAATTTTACTATATTGTCGAGTTTCCCTAATGGATTCGGCTATGTGATGACCCATGCAAGAAGGGATCATTATTGCTTTGTGCAATATTGTCGAGTTTCCCTATTAGATTCGGCTATGTGGAGAATGTGATCGTAATCTCTGTTAACGAATCATGGACTCCTGGATGTAGGTCTATTTCTAGATTTTACTTTCGCCATGATATTTACGTATTTGAGTTACTGATATTATATTGAATCTAGGTTTCATTTGGAGAAATAGTCTAATCTCAAGCTTTTCTTTGTTATGTGTTATGAAACAACATTGTATTTTCACATGTGAAACTGGTTCTCAGGGTTCTCTTAATTTTCTGTGAAACTGGTTCTCATGGTTCTCAACATTTATCCGGTTCTCATTTGAATTACCCCGTGTAACTTCCCTTTTACCTCTCTTTGTTACAATTTGTTTCCCATTTTGTAACAATCGGTCATACTGTCACTGGTGGCATGTTGTCGTAATCCAATGTTTTTGATGTTCGTGGTGCAAATTGACTGTTTGACTTGCGGTTTTCAGGCGCAGTTAGCGAATCAAAACCAGCTTGGTGATCATTACAGCTCCAAGCATCCAAAGGAGAAGCCTCCAAGCAACTCTGAATGATCTGTTTGTGGTTTTGCAGAAGAATTGGATGTTAAGATTTGTCAAAATGTTTTCGATTTATATTCATCCAATGCACTAAATTTCTTGTCTTTATGTTTATAGGACCCGATTACTCGTCTCTACAAGCGAAGAAAACGGTTATGAGTGTGAAACTGGTGCAAAGTGTCTTGCCAGTTTTTGTCGTTCTCGTGTAATTTTGCGTTGATGTTTTGTCTTGTCGTGTGTCATGTCTCGTGCTTCTTTTCTGTTAACGTTAGTGTCGTTGCGGAAACGGAATATAAGGATATATAACCGATTGTCAAGTTGTTGAGCATAAAGAAAATGTTAGTAAACATAACGATGTTCTTTTAGATAATCGTGGGTGTTCGGGGCAACTTGCCCCATCTCGAACTAATTTCATGACTCATGAGGACTTGGAAGTTGAGAGCCGGTTAATCTCTTGTTGTGTTTGCCGTTTGGTACATGGGACTGGATTGGACAGTATAAACTCATTGACGGACGTCTGACGTTACATGGGACTAGGACCGATCTACTCTCATTTGATATAACCTATTATATAATATGTTATTTGGTTTAATGGTCACTACTGCTCGTCATTGCCATCAACATTGTCACCTACTCTGCAACCACCACCTTCACCTACATATCCCTTGATTTATATTATTTATAACTATTATATGATATATAAAAATTATTAAATAACGTTTTGAGGCAATTTGTCCACTCTAGTCCTAGTCATACAGAACACCATCATTCAACTTGTCTTGTCCTATTTAGTCAGTTCAGTTTTGTCTGTGTATCAAACACTACCTAAAGAAGCTCGAGCTAAAGATGTGCTACTTTTCTAGATCTTCAATAGATTTCTTAAAATTTCTCTAAAATAATGAACTAAAAGTCAAAATCTCTAAAAAAAATTACAGTTATCTCCAATAGATTCCCTATTTTAGAGAATCTAACATTGATTAGAATATTAAAATATTTCATTGATCTATTAAAATATTATTTCTTTCTCTGAATTTTTATTTTCAAAGTTTTCTATTGGTCCTCTAATTTGGTAATATTTTTGGGTGATTACCATATTTGGAGAAAAAAACTCTTTTCTCTCTTACTTTTTTTTATTATTATTGTAGAGATAGTTTTGAGGAAGCTGTTTGAGCAAAATACAGGCTCAAAATCCTTATTTTTCCCATTTTAGATAAGCTGTTGGAGATGTTCTTCTCCAACAAATTCTCCAAAATTTCTCTAAAATGCAGAATCAAAAGTCAAAATCTTTAAAAGAAATTACATTCATCTCCAACAAATTCTCCATTTTAAAGAATCCAACATTAATTATAATATTAAAAGATTTTATTAATCTATTGCAATATTATTTCTCTCTTTAAATATTTTATTTTCAAAGTTTTCTATTGGTGGTTTCACTTGGTAATTTCTTTTGGGTTATCTCCATATTTGGAGAAAAAACTTTCCTTCTAATTTCTCTATTTTGGAGATAGTTTTATAAAAGCTGTTGGACTAAAATATCGACTCAAAGTCTTCATTTTTTTATTTTTTATTTTTTATTTTGAAGAAGCTGTTGAATATGCTATTAAGTAACCCGCAAAAGTATTGGGGTATTTTGGTAGGCCATTAGGAAAAAAAAACTGGGATTTTAGCTTCTTTTTTTGTTAACTAGGGGAAAAAGAAGAATATGATTACCGAAAGAGGGGTATATTGGTCATTTATTAACCCTTTAAAAGATTATAATAAAGACCATTGGACTTCGCTAGAATTCCAAATATGCCACAACAAAAATGTCAAACGATACAAAACCTAGTTTTTCAATGTGTTATTTATATCAAATTTGATCAAAATTACGATGAAAAAAATGTATAATGAACATTATACTCTTTATAAATTCTTATAACCAATGTTTCGAGGTACTTTTGTACAACTTAAATACCACCACCTGTTGTTACTTGTGATGTTTTTTCTTCTCTCATTTCTAGATGTTTCTGGCAACCCCGATCCTTTTCGCCCTCTCTTGGGTTGCCCCTTTTCGCCCCCTTTTCCAAAACATGCACAAGAACGCTTGGCATGTTTTCTTTTTCTAATTCATGTTATTTTCTATGTTCGGCAAATGGGTTAATTTCGAGCTAAGTTTCTTTTGAGACCATTGAATAGTTTTAATCAAGATGATTGTAAACGTTTTGGAGCAAGCGGGCATAAAGCTCGAGACGAGGACCGTAAACCAAGGTCTGGTTACGATTTTCCTGTTCTATTCACCGAATGATCCTTCTTAACCATTCTTTTAGTTTTTCAGAGCATTCAGATCTTTTGCTCTTGTATAAACAGATGATCGAGTTTGTGGCTTATTCACACAAATCAAAACAACCTCAACAGTTAAAAGTATCAATAATAAACAAAGATTTTGTAAACCCGATAACTTAAAAGTTACTACGCAAAACCCGTTATCATTTCCGCATTAAAACAAAAATCATGAGATTGTAAACAGAAAATCTCCAATTGCCAACTTCGGGGTTCAACCAAAAGCTTACAATGCATATTCAGTGTAGAACTCAAAAATTTCAATACCGACAAAGATAGATACATCTTCAATAAAATAATATTATAACATAAAACGAAACATAACAAACTTAAGGGTTGTTTGATTGTTTTTTCATTAAAGGGCTGTTTACTTACGGCTTAATTAGTCTTATTGGTCTATCTGGCTTATTCGCACAACTCATTTGGGTTGTTTACTTACGGTTTCTTTGCATAAAACATGGCTTAATAACAAAGATAGAAATGATGTGTTGTCCCCATTCAGCCACAATAATGACACATCTACCCCTTATTTAAAGCACCGTCTCCTTCCCATATGAGACACCCATCTTCGACCTCTTTATAATTTTTTGTTTTGATATTCAAATAATTAATATTGGAGGATAAATCGGTCACATTTATGTTATTCAAACTGTTGGTTCAGATAAAAAAAAGTAAACAACACTCATTTATCCAGACAGACAAATTTATCCACACAAGACTTAATAAAAAAATAAAAAAATTTGGTAAACAGCCCCTTAGTATATCCCATAGAGACGCATCATCATCGAAACAGCAACATTGGTACTATAAACCAAATCAAACCAACTCAATATAATATCCCACGGATATACATCTCAATAAAATAGCAATACCAGTACCATAAACCAAACCAAACCAAACCAAATCAAATCAAACCAAACCAAACCAAACCAAACCAACTCAACTCAACTCAACTCAATCCCATAGTAAACAAAATCAAACAAACTCAGTATATCCCACACAGACACAGGGGGAGGTAGGATCGGAGATATCATCACTTATTGGAAATAAACCTATCCAAATTTCAAACCCATGTAGCATTGGAAATCAAGAAGACAACCGCAAATTCAATCACCATCCTGAACGAGAAATGTGTGTACTTGTTTAGTGGGGAGAGACAGAAAGAGACTTAGCTTTCGGAGCTGTAAGATCCCTCTCCTGATGATGTACCACTCTCTTGTTGAACACGCCTCATCTCGTCATAAGCCCATTCAAGACCAGGGCAGTAATGGACTGGCGGATTAAACCTGGTATCCTCCATGTTATCTGGCAAGAACGCGCCATTTTCAACTAGAAATCTGATTGCCTTTCTGTTTCTCTCTTTTGCAGCAGTGTGGAGTGGAGTCCCTGGGATTAAAAACAAAATAACATCACAACAAAAGTAATACTTCCATCAACAACGGTTCCATCAATTATTAAATTAATTGTTTCAAGAAATCGTGTAAGAATTTGGAGGATTAAGGATCGACTATGGTTGACACAGTTAAAAAGACAGATTCACCAAACAGAAAAAAACATTACAGCCTAATTCAGAGGACTGGCTATCTCTGTATCCCAACTTTTAAGGCCAACTGAAAACCATTGATATGAATCAATTGGCAAAATCAAGATTAGCGGCCAAAAATACCACTAATCGGATGCTTATTAAAATAAACCCTGGAATTCGAGACCCAGTA